TCTTGGGTATATAGGTTGAACCTTTCCGTTGCATTTGTAAACACAATATATTCAAACCACAGTGAAATTAATCACCGACTTTGAATGCGTCCTTTAGAAAAAAACAAAAAAAAAAACAAACGGAAAAACTTTGTCTCAGCTCCACACCACATAATAACTCCCATCTCTCCAGTTGACCCTTGGCCTCTCTTCATTGCTTGTCCTGCAGTGCTAAACTGAACCCTTGACACGAGATTGAGATGTAGTGCGGTGTGTACATGTTCCGTGCCACAGGGAACACAGCTCTCTAGCACCTGTATTCTTTTTTTTTTTTTTTTTCCACTTTACCACCGTAGCTTTTAATCTCCCATCTCTAAGCAGGCAGGGTTTGCTGGAACTCCTGCTTATAGAGATAGGTAGAGCGGCGGAGACGAATCGAGAGGGAGGGGAAAAAAAAAAAAAAAAAAGCTCGGTTGACATTCTGGGGTTTGATAAGATGCGTAAAAATGACTGTGATGTGGTGGAAAATGGGAAAAAAAAAAAGATTTAGGCCAATACGATGGACAGGGGCGATAAGGAATGCGGGGAGATGCTTTTTTTTTTTTTAATGTGTTGCATTAAGTTGCCTGAAGGTTTTCAAAAAGGTGAACTCCTAATGAGGTGTTTACAGAGTCAGCCATGTTGCTAAAGGTATCGATTCCCACCGAGTCCCACGACATCACTTAAAATGAGCAAAGAAAATTATCCTGTGTGACAAAGCGTGGCGGCGTAGAATTATCTCCCTTGAATTTGTAAGTGCGACGCCACAAACGGGAATTACCGACATATTTTGAACACTGCATTCCAAAAGTGCATTAAAAATCGGCATTAGCGTCGCGTTTTGTTTGGGGGGGAAACGACGGTGCGGCGCTGGAGCTCGATGGTATTGCATTTGTAAAGGTGAGGAGAAGCAAATATTTATGTACACGGGGTATGTGCTTATTGAATAAATAGGCATCTCTCATTGGTCTTTAAGGAAAAGACTAGGAAAACAAAACAGGGAAGGTGGCGGCGGCGGCGGGGAGAAGGAGGGAAGGAGCTCTGTACATTTCCTCCACACTGCCCTTTCTGCTCATCCATTCTCCGTGACACTTGTGGTAATAAATCAAAGCCGAGAAGGCAGGCCACAGTGGGGAAGGAGACTCGCCGTCCTTTTCCCCCCCTTTCGCTGTAACCTCTGACGCTGGTTCGACAAAACAATCGGACATCTGACAGTATCAGGGAAACAGACAGCGCTATGCTCATTATGGTTTGGATGGCATTTGGCTAATAGGGTATGCCCCTGCATACCTTATCTCTGCGGTGCTATTTTCACTATTGTAGGAAGGGAAAAAAAAAAACAGAAAGTGAATTTTGTTATCAAAGAAGAGAAATGCAGCTACTAGGAGGAGGTAACACAGGGTTTGCACTTTATATGTCAATTAAGTGAAGCACAGCGGCAAATACTAACTGGTTAGGACAACGCTGTTTGTCGCTACCCTCTGATATCACACCAAAGGACCGTTTTCTACGAGCAGCAGGAGATGTAGCACAGATATATATATATATTTTTCCATCTGTGTTTTTCTAGGTTTAGGCAGCTGAAACATTTGAGTCAGGTTTTGTGAAAGACGGGAGTTAAAATAAAAAGCATTTGTGGTGTTAAGATTAAAGAGTCGGGTAATGTCATGGGATAGTCAATCAGTTCGTTACGTAGAACGCCACTTTACGATACGTCAGCTATTCGATGGCAAGGGCACAATTATGAGTGAATGATTGAGTGTTTCTTCTTATATATAAGGTGCAGTAAAAGACTGAACTACGGGGGTAATTTTGGACTCCACTATGGTTGGGTTGGGAGAAACAAATAGTGTCCTGTGATAAAGTTTAGTGTTTTGTTTGCCCATTTGCTAGAGATGACACATCTATGGTTTGTCATAAACTACTTGCACAAACGACCTATGGAGGTGTCTTCTTACGAGAGGCAAGTCTTGGTTAAATATATGCTTAAGCAAAAGCAAGGGTACGCATGAAAATATATATATCCTTGTCTGAAATTCCAACCAACATGTCCTCAATCAAGGGAAGACAACAACAGCAGGTGTCTCAAGCGTAGTAAGATGCCAACAACTGAGTGCCAGTAATAATTTCAGTGTTTTATCCTTTGGTATCAGTGCAAGAACTTTTTTTACAATAAGTTCTTCTGAAGTTTAGATTACGAAACTAAAGGCAGCCTTTTGCAGTGCTCTTGGGAGTTGCTCCATTTTGCCTTTCCTGGGTCCAGAACTTTGAATCCATCCACTCTACTGAGTTGACTGATTCGTCTGGCATCGTGACATGAAACAGCACTTTCTCGGACTGAAAAAGCAATCGGTCAAATAAGTGCCGGTGAAGGACTAACGATTAGCCGATCAATGCCGCGGCCGGGGCTGCCGCCGTTGTCAGGCATCGTCAAGCTTCGGGTTTGGGCGCATTTGGGCTGTTGAAGAGCCTGAGGTTCTTGAGTTTGATACGACTCCCTCGATTAACACATTTCTATCACATCGACGGCACTGTAGTCTCGATATCATCCGGCGTTGTAGTTCACTCCCATCCACGTTTTTAAAAAAAAACTGACAAAGCCCATATGTTGGCATGGTTACGCATCAGTGTCAACTTAAAATGACATTAGAGTCAGGCGGATACGTTGGTCTCCGCTGACTGGTTAGGGAAAATTGAACCCCCTCCTCCCCCGACGGAAATCAGTTAGAGTGGAGTCAATGTCAGACCGAGGGTGGAAACGGAGTGTAACAAGTTGACAACTCTGTGTGATATCAGGCAAGATGCTACTAGCCTTCTAGCAGCATTAACACAGCAGAATACAGCGCCGGTGGATGGCTGCCTCCATCCAATACACGCTACACAGTCCTGTATCATTTTTTTTTTAGTGGCTATTAAAATATAAAATGTAAGAAAAAAATGACCTGCATGCCAAATCCCATACACCGTTTGTGCGTATCCACTCGCGTATTTGGCAAGGCTCAAGCTTCGGCAGCATCGAAATGCACTATTTTAATAGGTGAGAGAAAATGATGAGGTACAATATTGATGGAGCGAATGCAATACTGATATAATAAAAATTCACGGCGTATATGATTCAATTTTTGCTCACTTTGTTGTGATAAATCAACAACACTGCATTTTTTTTTTTTATGATGTCAATTGCAAACATCTAATTTCACAAGCTCCACCACAGCCACTAATACATCCATCAAGGAAAAGCTGTCAAAATGACTGGCACGCACCACGGTGTTGAATACCGAGTAGAAGGAAAACACAGGTGACACCAAAATGTCTACTTCAGTGTGGGGATCTTAGCACAACAATACGAAGATTTACGAGGTTTAAGGGTTTCTTTGTAGCGTCGGAACTCGGGAAAACGGACACGGAAATTTTGAAAGGCTTGTTTTGGAACAGTCGCACGAAAGTACAAGTAGACTTTGACGAGATATAAAGTATTTGATTGCTCTGCGAGGAGAAATTTATTTAAAAGGAAACATGTTTTTTTTATTCTCTCTCTAAATGGTATTCAGAAGAGCGGTTACGCAGCTTCACAATGTGGTCAACAGCACGGGTGAACGTACTTGAACATCTCTCAAGGCCGACATAAATACAGTTTATAGTAAAGCACTTTTTTTCTTTTTAAGCCTACTCTCTTTACATTCAATGAAAATGTTTGAAAAAAAAAAAAATCTTGTTTAAACCAGAGCCGCATCTTTAGTGCGAGATACATATTCGTTAACTAAATCTCGGCACAAATATGTACCACAAGCGCCTTCTCTTTCCCTCCCCATTCCACGGCATGCAGTCATGCACTGAAAGGGTGAAGCAGCAAATTTGCTAGCTGGCAGACTGGGAGGACAGAGAGGCCTTTCTCACCAGTCAACGGCTGTCCTTAATGAGAATAGAAAGTGATTTACTAGCTTAATGCTCCAGCCCTCAGCCCGCCTGCCCGCCTTTGCTTTGCACAGCCAGTTTAGTCGACGCTCTTCATACAGAGAGCGAAATTGAGACCAGGGAAAAGAGGGGGTGAGGAGGAAGAAAAAAAAAAAAAGAAGATAGCAAAGCCACTGTCCGAGTAATGAGACTTTCTCGTGGATTCTCAGCATCACTCACCTCCACCCAAGTTCTGCATGATTGTATTTTTCATGCTTTTTTAGTGTTTTTTTTTCAGTGTGCTGATGGGATTGACCTGCACTGATTGGGGACTTTTGCTTCATCTAACCAAAAGGACAAAAACATAAGAACACGCGTGACTTCCGAGACATAATCAAAAGAAGAAAATCGTAAAGAAAAAAGGTGAGGACGTTCCCTCCGTAGCGTGCAGTCTCTTGCAAAAACGTCTTTTAGATTGGTGTGAGGCAGAGATTGCTCCCTGCTATTATTGTCCTCTATGATTATCCAATCAGCGATGCTATTCCCCGAAACCATTTGGAAAAAAAGTCGAAGAAACCGGCGGAACCTGCTCTCAAAGTGGGACTTGTGGGGGGTCCCCCCCTTTTAAAATAAAAAACAGCAAACTTCCAACCCCTTGTGTTTTATTCAGTTCAACTTCTACCACCAGCAAAGCACCAGCAAGAGTAATAATAAGGGGAAAAAAATACCAATTTCATGCACATTTGTGGGGCCGGATTGCACTGCTTGATTGGGGCAGCGTACTTAAGCGTGTGCATGAAATTTAAAGTCATAATCACATTTAACCACAAAATAGGAAGGAAGGGGGATGGAAGGAACTACAGAAGGTCACTTGAACATGTTGGAAAATAGAAAAGGAAAGGATGGGGGGAAGGAGAAGAGGAAGAAGGGGGAAAATCATCTTATCACAAGGCCCTATTGGGGCAAACATGAATCCAAACAGAGCAGGTGACTTCATACGTGCATGATCTTTTTTGGTGTTGGGGGGGGCGCGCGCGTAAAAATGTGCATCATGGAGGGCAAAACACAAGACCACAGCAGTTTCTTACCGAGAGTGAAGTAGGGAAGAGCAGTGTTGTCAAGATCATCCATTACGGAGATTCGCCCAGGTAGGTCTGTTCTAACGAATAACAGGAGTCGGGATTCCCCCCCTCCTCCTGCTCCTCCTCCTCCTCCTCCTCCAGTTCCTCCTCCAGTTCCTCCTCCACCACCAGCACCAGCACCACCTGCTCCGGCACCAGCAGCAGCAGCAGCAGCAGCAGAAGAAGCACCCCCTCCTCCTCCACCTCCTCCTCCTCCTCCTCCACCGGCCACGTTCCCCGAGGCTCCGCCGGTGAAGCTGAACTCGTTCTCCCGGAGTACGGGCAGCGTGGAGACGGTGACGGTTTTCACCTCACATGGCGTCTCCGCGTCGCTCTCTTTGTCCCTCTCCTCGTCCTGGAGCGACGTCGCCCCTCGGTTCGCCCGCACCGACGGGGACCCGGCCAGCAGGAGAAGGAGGAGAGCCACGAGAAGGACGCGGAGGTGCGGCGCTAATATCTTCGCCATCCCGCTCCTCGCGTGTGGTTCTCTCCGCTTTGAGTGGGGCTCATAAGCTGTCCGTTCACTTATAGTACAGTCGCTGCAAAGGAGTCGCGTCCGTCCAGGAGGCGGCAGCACAGGTGTAGTGAGGAGGATGACATCTCTCGGCTCCTCCGCACATCCATCTGAGCTCACATGCGGGACAACAAATCACCTAAACTTGGTGGAGCACGTGCACTTTTTAAAAAGACACATTTGAGGTGGAGTTTGCATGCGGGCTTTTTTTTTTTTTTTTTTTTTTTTTT